GCTAATATAAGAGAATTGTGAGCCAACTTGCAGGCTTAGCAAGGGATCTGTGTGCAGGTGGGCCTTTTAATGGGCTCTGCTGAGCACTTCGTTATGTAGAACCATCACCCCAGTTTGCTATAAAGAATTTTTCCCTATTGCTTTTGCCGTTTCAAAATTAATTTTCTTGTGAAGCCACACTGCCTTATCTTGAGGTGAGAAGCAGTGTAAAGAGAAAGTAAGAGCTGTAAAAGAAGGTAGTTAGGGAAATTGCTAAGGTTCATGGGTACTGGGCTGACTCGTTTCAGCAGTCCTATTTTGATAAGCTTTATTTCCACTGCCCCTTTAATGTACCTTTCAACTAATACTGTCCTATGGAGGAACTTTCTTCCCAGTACAGCTGTAACAAGTACAACAGAAATTCAGAATCCAGGAACTTTAGTCACCACTGCTTTTATACTATAAGTCGTGGAACCTTGTTCCCAGTGGGATATTGAGCAAATCCACCAGGTTAGATTAAGCATGGGGCTTCTGTTTAAATCAGATGATCCCAAATCAGTAATTCATTCTGTTCATATCAAGCATTAAAAAATTGGTTGGGAAATTTTTATTGGTGACTTGCAGAAAACTAATGTCCCTGATTATAGAAGAATTGCTAGGGAAAACTTACAAGTAATGCTGGATGGAAGAGTCGATCTTCTTCTTCTTTGGTGATCATTTGTCTTCCATGAACACGGTCTTAACGGTGTGTCCATAGATGACTGTGGAGGCCAATTCTGGATCCACACGTCCTTCCACAGTGGGGACATAGGTTTCCGAGCAGGAGTTGATCATGGTGAGGGTTTGCCAAGTGTGCCTTCCTCTTAGCACATTCCTCCCTTTCGTCCTGAGTTCGAGCATCTTCAAAGTCTGTGACAGGTGTTTAGTGACTGCAAATCTAGCTGTGGCTCACTTCTGTGTGCGGCATTCAGATGTGTATGGTGCACATTTGGTGCCCTGTAATAAAATACGAACTTGTGAAAAGCCAGAAAAAAATGTAAAACAAAGGTGGTGACATATATTTAATTAAACAGATTAGAAATGTGGCATCCTGGCAAGCATTGAACTATAGCATCCCTACCTTCTTACAGATCCAGGTCACAATACAAATAAATAAATGGGTAAATTTGGAATATCCAATTCATTTTGGTGCTAATAGCTTTCTTTGTCCCTCTATCACTGGTCTTCAGACTGGCCCTGTTGTTAAGGCGATGAGCTAAGTTAACATATTAGAGTAACATAAAGATGAATCTTTGCCAAAATATATTTCTGTGTCACCTTCTCTCTCAAAATTAAAAGACCTATCTCTTTAGCGCCATAAATTATTGCCTCTGTACCCATAACCCCACTTAAACTGAACATTGGTAGAACTAGCCTTTTGCAATAGACATTTCCTTTTGTACACCAAGGCCCCAGGCTTCAGAGAAGGATGGGTCACAGGAGTGAATTACTTTGCTGACCCTCCCGGGATTTCTGCTGGTTCTTATCTAACCCAATTGTAAACGGAATCTTTCTCAGACTTTGTGCAGGGATAAGAAAAAAGAAATTAATGGTGTCCCTTTAGATCAAGATGCAATCCCTTGCCTTTATTTGGTAGACAACTTGCAAGCAAAGGAGCACAAGTTCAAAAGAAAACAAGAGTCATTGCTGTAATCTTTCTCTCTTTAAAAGGTGTGGATTCTGTTGGGTATGTGACTTTAGCTGTGAGGACCAAAGTCTAAGAGGAGCTTTCCTAAAGTGCAGGTAGTTATGAGAGGCTTCAAGATCTTCCACGAATCAGTGGAAGATTAAATACAAATTAACCAGATAAATGCAGGCAATACCATCTTCATAACTGCATACAAGGAAGGATGCCAACCAGCATGCCTTCTGCCATTATTACTCTCTGTGATGGAAGTAGCTGGTGCCGAATAAAATTTGCATATTGTAGGCTCCTTAGCTATACAGGAGAGGCGTCACCTTTTGAATCTGGCAGTCTCTGTCCATTATTGCTTCCAGTTTAGCTTTGGCAGAGATTAGGAACACAGGAAGCTGCTTTATACTGAGGCTGCCCAGTGGTCCATCTAGCTGCTTACTGCCTACTACCCTTTAGAGAGCTCCAGAGAGTCTATTCCAGACTACCTGGAAAAGTTGAGGATTGAACCTAGGATATTTTGCCTGCAAAGCTATGGTCTCTTCCTTTCAGGATGGGCCCAGATAGACTGAACCTACCCACTGCTTTTCCAGGATAGGCCTGGTCCAAAAGTCCAACTAGACCACCATCCCATTTTCCACAGCGGCCAACCAGAAGCTTCTGGGCAGCCCATAAATGATGTCCTTCAGTTTGTTAAACCTCCTAGGAGGTTTAACATTGCCCTCTTTCTATTCTCCTCCTGATGAGAATGGGAACAGATGGGGACAGATATACCCCTGCTTTAAGCCATTTAAATACTGTCTTTTCTTGTATATTATTTACCACAAAGCTCAATGACTAAGCTCTTTAGTGACAAAATGCCTGATTACCGGAATGACATCCGAGCACTGAACCACTGGTATATCACAAGTGGACCCTTTATTACTGTGTTTGCAATTGTTCAAGATAAAATCTTTTCTGGAAGGAGAAGAAATGAGCACTGAACCACTGATGTAATATATCATATTACAAGTGAACTCTTTTTTTACTGAGTTTGCAATTGTTTAAGATAATACCTATTGTACTTTTCTGTGTATAAGACGAGGGGTTTTTTAAATTAAAAAAGTATGTTAAAAATTGTGGGTCGTCTTATACACGGATAGTGCATGGGGGGGGGGACATGGGATTGGTTGCTGCCATGAGCAGTGGCCATTGGGCATGCTATTGGTGGCTGCAGCAAGGGCTGGTGATGATCGGCTGTCGCTGCAGCAATTGGGTGGGCAATTGGTGGCTTCTGCTGGTGAGGGAACAGCAGTGTAGGTCAGACGGGTGAGTGATTTCTGGCAATCCCCCCTAAAAAAAGCTCAATAACCATGGGCAATCCTTCCCAAACAAAGCTCAGCAACTCTGGGCAATCTCCCTCCATTTTCTTAATTTGGAGTCCCCCCAATAGGGGCATCTTATACATGGGACCATGTTATACACGAAAAAATATGGTACTGTACTTTAGAAAGAAACTACTTTTGCCAAGCAGTACACTGCTTAAGAACTTGGAAGGTCCAAGTCTAATAGCAGCCGGTGTATGTACACTATCATGGTGGTTCAGACTGTGGCAGAGTGCTAATTTTAGGGGCAGGGGGTTTCAGAGTGTTGGGCAGGCCTGCTTAGAAAAGCTCAAGATGTATAACGGGAGGTACAAGCTTCTGACTCCTCCCAGGGGGAGGAATAGCAATGACTTTTCCCCATCCATCATCACCAACTAATCAGTACAGTATGTGCATCTGTTTCCTGCTTCTTGTGTTGATTGAATTCTCAAATTAAGAAATAATAATTAAGTGAACAAGTGAATAATTAAGTGAACAAGCCGTAGCTTGCATGTTCTAAAGCTCTTCCATTTCTCCAGAGACCTTAGCAGTTAATAAGTGATGTTTGCAGAGGTACATGCATCTCATTGTAGGCTAGCTTTTTGTACCTCTTACCTTTGTAAATGGTGCCTTAAACCAGTCTGAAGCATTTATTGCAATATTGGTGGAATCAACTTGACTCACATTTGCTGAATCAGTTACAGGATTCCTGTGCCCCCAAACATGAGAAACCTCTTAAGATTATTACTCATCTGCATTCATGAGATTTATGCAACACTTCCTTTTGAGTGGAAGAGCCTTCTGATCTTTCTCCCTTTACTTGTGACACTGGGGTAGTTCTGGGTGGGTCAGGTGATGAAATTGATCTCATATCTTGATATCCCTGACAATGACTTTGTCAACTGAGAGCAGCAAGCATTAAAACAGGCCTGTAAAACTGGAGACCCAGCAAGCTGAACACAACACATCAGCTTTCCCTTTTGTGGCTTGCAGGTGCTTAACAACTTCCATAGTTTGTATAGTCCCATGTGTGGTGCCAAACGAGTTGATTAAGATTAAGTTGATTAAGGTATGATAGGTCTGCAAGTTGCATATGCCTGCCATTTAAAAAGAGAGCCAATGTCATTTTGTGGTGAGAGTTAGATTCTCAGAGTTCAAATCTCCATGAAACTCATTGAGTAAAGTTGTGTTAGTCACCTACTCTCAGCCTAAGCTACCATATAGGTTTCTGAGATGAAAAAGCAGGGAAATGTCTGCCACCCTGATTTCCTTGGGGGAAGGGTGGGATTAACAGGGCCTCCTCTGCAGGGGCTCCCTATTTGTGGAATGCTCTCCCCAGGCATGCTTGCCTGGTGTCTTCATTACATATCTTCAGACGCCAAGTGAAAATAGTCTTATTCTCCAAGGCCTTTGATTAAGTAAACAATCTATGACTTCTTAAACTGTGTGTGTGTGTGTGTGTGTGTGTGTATTGGTTTGTTTGTTTGTTTGTTTGTTATACACAAAAGGCCCCATATTTTTTTTAATACTGTAAACCACCTTGGCTGAAGGGCAGTATATAAATTTAATAAACAAAAATAAAAATGTAGTAAATAATAATTGCAACTAGTAATAGGGAAATGGAACTTGTCACGAAGAAGTAATCGAGTCATTAAATCCAATTTATTTCATAAAATGGTTTTGGCATGTATTATACATACACAGTCTAAAATAGCTTAATCCTGTTTTTTGTGGGTTTTTTGGTAAATAAACCATGCATTAGCCCTCAGAAACTTTACTTTCCTCCTGCGGACATGTGTGTATATATTGGCCTCAAAGCAATGGAGTGAGTAATTGGTTAACCAGGAGTAATTCACAACTGACACCAGATGAGTAGACATTTGCAACACTGGCTTAAGATAAAAAAGAGAAGAAATTAAAACTTTCTATTAAAAATGTGCATAAGAGGTGGTGCAGAATACCTACATGTGTTTATTGACACAAACTTCTTTCGTTTCTCCTGCCAGTCCCACTTTCGAAGATCCAAAGAAGGTCTCTGTCCCTGCCTTGGAAAGGTTTGTGTTTTTAAATTGTGGGATTTGGGGCTATGATAATAAAAACCAAGCCTGACATCAGCACCTGGCATGGTGGGGCAAATGCTGGAGTGATTGATGCTAGGATTATTTTATTGTTAATCATTTTGTCAAGTTGCAAGGGTTCAGCACTCAGAGGAGAAGGGCAGGCCTGGCACAGCTGCAATGACTGCCATCCGCCACCCTTGGTGCCACTGGGTCCCAGCAAAGCTACGCTGGCTGTGAAGCTATACAGGGAGCCAGAGGCATTTTGGGGAAAGAAGATGGTGGCCACTTCATGCTGCACCTGACACCTAAAAGCAAGTTGTGCCAACACTGCTGCCTCCTAAAGCACCCCTTTCAAGACTGGCACACCTTTTCTTGTTTTTAAAAACCTGGTACTAAGAGAAAGACTGGGAGGCTACAGCAGCTTCTTCCTGTTATTGGCCATCCCTAGTATCCAGTAAAATCACAACTTTTGCTCAAATAATTATTGATCTGACAGCTTCCATTTTCCTTTTTCGTCCTTGCTTTGCTGTTTTCCCACATGGAAACAAGATAAAGCTGCAATAACCACAGAACAGAGCTAGTGTTAGCATACCATTAACCCCCCCCCAATGTATTTACGTTACTTTTGTCACTGTTTGGAAGCACCCAGGGTGATCATCTGACTAACTGATTTCCTGCCATCGTATCTCAGTGCCCAGTTTTTGTCCAACTTATGGTGAATTCACATTTTGAGCAATTTAGCCAATGGCTAACTTGCTCAGAGTTCCTGTTGTTGAGTGATAGGCTGATAGGATAGGGGGCAATAATCCATGATGGCTTCCTGAATCAGGAAGTGGGAAACTATTACTATGTGGATGTCATAACTTGTGAGCTAATCCCTTGTTAATTGCTCACTGTCAGAGAGATTTCTAAGCTTGTAGATTCTCATAGCTCTATATGATGATTATTGGCTTTTTTGGGGGGGGGGCACTTATACCAACCCAGGATACGCTTATAAGCAAACTGCTAACAAGGATGCCAAGTTAATGGGCTCATTTCCTCGACTAAACTGTACCTGGCTGCTTTGGCAGCTTTACAGTTTATCGTCAGGACACATCTTAAATTCTCAGCTTGTCAGGAGCATGCTAATTTTGTTTAGGCTATGCTAATTCCACCCCTGTAGCCATTTCACTTTACCTGGTAAAGGGTGAGGCTGGTTGAGATTCTGCAGAAGAGTAATCCTCAATGACAGAATGGGAGTGAGAGTATGGAGTCTTTTCCCGTGTCTTTTTCCTGTGATGCAGTAACCGTTTTACGCTGGGGCATGTCTGTAAAACACTAGAGGCAATTAAAGCATCCTTTGAAGGTACAAAAGGATTGAATGAGAGACCACATAGTGTGGCAGCTGCCATGTTGCACTTAGACCGGGGACACCCACATTCAAGTCCCCGATCAGGCATGAAGTTTAGTTGGACCTGTCACTGTCTGTCTACAGGCTTTGGAATCTACCTTTTTTAAAAAAAACAACCCAGAATCTAAAGCTCTACCTGCCCCATTTTAGTATAATCTGCTTTGCATATTTTTTCCTAGTTAAAACTCAGGTGGGTAGAACATTATGTGTCACCCTGTGCTCATTGGAGGCAACCAAAATTAAAATGTAGCACATAAACAGTGGCAGATCTTGGGGTCTCAAATTTCAGGGGTTCCCCTATTTGACACCAAACTTCAGTGTCCTTCTCCCTCTTGTGCTCCCTCTTGTGATCTCAGCCTGAGAAACGCTGCCTGTGATACTTGCCACCAGAATTGATGTTGGTGGTTTAAATAAACATTAGAGTTTGATTCAGCATAGGTTAGCTCATTACATTCTCTTACATCTGCCAAGGCTGCAATCCCCACACATTTACTTGGGAGTAAGTCCCATTGATTGCAATGGGACTTACTTCAGAGTAGACATGGTTAGGATGTGAGATATTCTAAAATAAGAGCATAGGAGTCACAGGTTAATGTATGGGACTGAGCCTAAATCTGCAGAATCTCTTCTGAATTGGATGTCTTACTAGAATTATTTAAAGACTTATATACCACATCCTAGCAAAAACCGTATTATGCATCTTTAATAAATTATGGAAATTAAATTTCCATATATATACTTTGCATAATGTATTCTGCTTTCAAGACAGGTTTCCTTTTTTCTTTACAAGATGGCTGTCAGAGTGCAAACAGGAAAGAATAATATGAAGACTATAGAGTAGAGCAGGGGGATGATGACTGCAGAATAGTGCAGCTATGGGCTTCAGGGCATTATTATTTTACTTGCTTGTTAACAGAAATCCAACCCACTAAGGTTCCATTGTTTTAACCTTCACCAGTCATTGCTTGCACATTTCTGTTATTTCTCTGCCAGGAACTTACTTTTAAAAAGATCAGTTTGATTGGTTGTAGTCAGCTAGTCCAACTCAGAGTAGACCCACTGAAATTTTTGAACCTATAATGCTTCAGCTGTATGGTGTGAACGTGACCTTAGTCGTGTCCATTAACTTCAATGTGTCTACTCTTGAGTAGGACTAGTATTGCATACCACCCGATATTCCCAAGATGCCAAATTATGTACTATATTCCATACCTGAATGAAGTGTTGGCAGACATGATAAATATGCAGGATTCTGGTTTGTAATGCTGCTGCGACAAGTTTTTGGCTAAAAACACACTGCGTCTGCTGTATTAATGCTCTTTTATCAGTTTCTTACAATTAGCACAGCTGCATTAGAACAGAACCTTTGCACAGTGATGGGATGATCACACAGTGAGGCACATGTGAATTCACCATAGTGGCATTCAGAACATGCTGCCAGATTGATATATTATATTGCCTTCAAATAGAAACCAGAGTTCACAAGCTTATCATGAATGTTGCAACATGACGCTTAACACCTAACACCACCTGCAAGATGATTAGGGTTCCCATTGTGTGTGGTTTTCAGTTGGCCTTATGATACAACTCACACTGCAAACTTCTCCCTTTCTTTTCCCCTATATATAGTTTTTATAGTGAGCCTTTGCCTCTGGAAGAGCCCGTTCGCGAGCAGCAGAAAGAGACAGAGAAGTCAAAACGTGGAAAGAAAAAAGCAAAGAAATAGCATACTGAGACTGGAAAGATTTTTTGTTGTTGTTGACATTGTGTATATAGATATATATATAGTATCACACACACTTAATGTACCCATATAGATGCAGCTAACTATATTTTATTCATTATGAAGAAAGAGCCCACAATGGACAGCCTTGGTTTCTTTCATTCCATACAGAAGGTTGCCTTTCTAAAACATATGGAAATCACTTCTCCAAACAGGCAGTGAGAGTTCTTGCAGTAATCATTTGCATCAAATGTCTGGTTTCCCTGTGTACCAAAGTCCCAACACTTTGAAATGGAAGCAAAGTCAGAGTGGTATCATCCAAATTTGGAATATGTAAGACAAAAGGGCAGGAGGGGAGGTTCCTCAGGATGACAAGGGAATGGAGGAGATGAGCCAAAACCAGGAAAGTGAGATATCAGTTTTAATGTTAGCTAGAAGTGAATTTACCTTCTTAGTTTTCCATTTACATGTGAGGAAGAAGGAACTACAATAGCGTGGACTTGGCCCAGCTGAAATTTAGGGTACGGTATTCATTTTCACAAGAAGAGATCAGTGTTAGTATCCTCCCCCACATGCTATTCTTCTGCGTGCCATGAGGGTCCCTCTCCTCCCCCCCCCAAAGCATTCAGACATGAGCTCCCCTCCACCACCTTCCCTGTCACAGCCTAAAATGTTACAATTTAGGGAAAATATCACTCAATTCTGCTCTGAATGTTCCACATGCATGTGGCTCTCAGATGGTAAATGAGAATAAGCTGTGCCAATTTCACATTAGACCAAGCTCAGGTGAGCCAAAGCTGCTTCATTCGAGAAACTACAGAAGGATTCCTGTGGAAACACAACAGCATGGAGTAGAATTGTCATATGTCTGTAAACTTCTTAGTTGCCTATAACCTCTTTCCTGCATTATATTAAAAGTAACATGTTTATCAAGTGGGTGGAAGCATCATTGGGAGGCCAGAGCTTCTGAAAACCCTTGAGAGTCATGAGTGAGACTAGGTCAGGTGCCTTTCAGCCTGGAGCTGCAACCATAGAATCATAGAATTGTAGAGTTGGAAGGGACCCAAAATGGTCATCTAGTCCAGCCCCAGAAATGCATTAATCACACCTGAAGAATCCCTGAAAGATGGCCATCCAGCCTCTGTTTAAAAACCTCCAATGAAGGAGCGACCACCACCTACTGATGCAGTCTGTTCCACTGTCAAACAACAGCTACCACCAGGAAGTTCTTCCTAATCTTGGAATCGTATTGGCTACACCAGACCTTCAATAACTGGTAGTAGTTCTCCAGACTGAGTGAATGAGCAGTAAAATGGCAAATGCAATTCAATGAAAACAAGTGTAAAGTGATGCATGTTGGATCAAAACAATCTTAATTTCACATCACATTCATGGGGTCTGCACTAGAGGGAGCGGACCAGGAGTGAGGTCTTGGGGTCATAGTAGATCGCTTAATGAAGATGCTGATGTAGTTTGTGGCTGCCATGAAAAAGTCACATTACAGGCTAGGGGTCTTTAGGAAAAGAACTGAAAATAGTACTGTGTTCAGTTCTGATAACCTATGAAGAAAGGTTCCAGTTGCTGAGACTTTTTAGTTTAGAGAAAAGGTAAGAGGTGACACGACAGAAGTTTATTAAATTATGCATGGTGTGAAGAAAGTGGATAGAGAAAGGTTTTCTCCCTCATAACACCAGAACTCATGGATATCCAATGAAGCTGAATGTTTGAAGGTGTAGGACACTTAAAAGACTTCTTCACACAGTGCACTCAGACTATGGAACTCATTCTCCCAGGAGGCAGTGATGGCCACCAACATCGAGGGCTTTAAAAGAGGATTAGACAAATTTATGGAGGAGAGGGCTATCAAAGGCTATGTCAGGGACTGGGCAGAGGAGGAATGGTGGAGACCGCCTTCCCATGGAGCAGCTGGCTGACACTAGAAAGCATTCCAGGACCCCCCTCCCAGAACCTGGCGAGCCTTAAAAGTAGGAGAGAAAAGGGCTCAGAAGCAAAAGGCCCTTTGTGCCACCTGTAGAATAGATGGTGAATAAGGAAGTGGGAGAGAAGGGTGGAGATTTACCTGAGGCAACGCCGTTATTCCAAGAGGCTGCATCCCCAAGCCTCTCTCTGTAAATATTTAATAAAAGCAGATGGTAAGGACTTTTCCTTGTCTTAACTGTTCCTGGCACCCTGCTGTGGGGGTTGGTTTCCCTGAGGCCTGGCAGGCTACTAGCTATGATGACTTCAAAGTTGGAGGCAACAATGCTTCCAAATACTAGTTGCTGGAAACCACGGGAGAGGAGAGTGCTCATGTTCTGCTTCCAGGTTTCCCACAGGAATCTGGTTGGCCACTGTGAGAACAGGGTGCTGTAGTAGATGGGCTCTTGGCCAGATCCAGCAGGCTGTTCTTATGTAGGAAGTACATACACAGAATGCCAGCTATGACTATAAAACCTCTTCTGGGTTAAATGTACATACAATTTCTTCTCTAGACCCTTTTCACATAAGCCTTATGTGAAAAGGCATATACAGTCATACCTTTTCTTGCGAACTCTTCATGTTGTGTTTTTTCGGGTTAAGAACACGGCAAACCCATAAGTGTTTACTTCCGGGTTTTGCCGCATGCACAGAAGCGTACTGCGTGGTTTTCGCATGCGCAGAAGCGCTCTATCGAGCTTCGCACATGCGGAGAAGCGCCACTCTGGTTACAGACTTTTTGGGGTGCAAGCGGCACCCCAGAACGGATCATGTCTGCAACCAGAGGTACCACTGTATAGGCTTATCCAAATCCTCAAAGAGAAGAAAGTGAAAGGTCAGCTTCTCAGCCTGTGGTGATGTATATGCTGGAGGTTGCTCAAAGAATCAGTCACAGCTAACGCATTAGGAAGACCGATCTGTTACCAAGTCAAAATGTTCTTTAAAGTAGAGTGAGTCATGACCTCATATCAACAATTTATTGATATTTAGGACCATTGAAGTTCCAGATCTAACGGTGAACTTACTGAGGTAACCAGAAAGGAATGGGACTTCTTAAGAATCTTACGAGTCCAAATGTTGCCATTCAGATCACCTAACAGAAAAGTTTAAATTTCGATTCCAAGGGAAAGGTATAAATTTCTTGCCCATCCTTCACCCTAAGGTCCCATGTTAAAACAATAGACTTTTGAATGATATAAACAGAGGCTAAAAACAGAGGAAACGATTCCAATCATAAAACAAAACCAATCAAAATGGAACTATAAATTCCATATAAATCTGTTATAATCGTTTTGATATATATTCAGAAAGAAGGGTTGCAATCCTTTTGAAAGATTAGTTTATTCAAAAAGTTAACAAAGGTAATGGGAGGAAACAAATGAAACATAATATAGATGAAAATAAATACAATGTAAATAATACTAATAGTAACAAAAAACCACCAGCAATTCACATTATGGATACCAGAAGTTTAAGGGTGTATCCATCAGTACATGTATTGTAAGTTACATTTATTGGTTAACACAAGCCCTCCAGTTATCCAGTAGGTATTCTCATGAAATTAAGATGTAGCCAGGGCAGTGAGGTCTTCAGACCGTTGTATAATAGACAGTGGGTGTTTATCCTTCCAGGCTCAAAGTCTTTTAGCCAGTGCTTTTTTTTTTTTTTAAAGGTGTTTGGGGTACTCTCATTTTGACTCAAGACAACCACTATTTTATAGTTCAAATCAGGAAAATTAAATACAGTAAATGGACAAAAGTACAAAGATTCACAAAATGTTTAGGGGTATGCGCACCCCTCCGTACCCCCAGAAAAAATCACTGCTTTTAGCAACAATAAAGGCTCTTTATCCAACAAAGGATCAAAGTCCACTTTGGTTGTAAGTACCTAAGAACATAAGACAAGATGGCTGGTTGAGGCCAATGGCCCGTGTATTACAGCATCCTATTGTCACAGTGGCCAAAGAGTTGTCCTGCTGTTAATCCTCATACTACAGGAATATAATTTAAAAATGCATAAACATGTGTAAATATCAATTTCATCAATACAAAATTTATGCAGATAACAACTTCATACTGGACAAGCCCACATCATATGCCAAACTGCAGTCCTAAACTTACGTAGTTACCTTGGAGCAAACGCCATTCAACTCTATGGGACTTACATTTGACTAAAAGTATATAGGATTTCGTACTTTTATGTGCATTTTTTTTAACCGTAAGCAGGTTTTACAATCAAGATGATGGTTCTCACAATCAAAATGTCTGCAAAATTATCATGCAGCAAAATTACATCTCTACCATAGTTATAATATACTGCTTTTATGTATACATTTTTGTGATATGTGTAGGATAATTTACTGAGATTGTGAAACAAAGTTCTAATATCCCTCTACCAAGGCTGGGAATTTGTGTGTGTTTTGTAGACTTTTTGTTTTTGGTTCATCACCTTTCAATAAAATGGGCAAGTGTTGGATGTAATAGCTTTGTAACAAAGTGTCCCCCAGAGGCTGCAATAAATTAATATGGGTTTGAAAATTGCCATAGTCAAAGTGACATTTTATTAGGCTTGCTGCCTGTCTTTCCCGTGCAGACTCATTCCCATTATCTAGAAGACACTGCATGAATTTGACATAAATCATGTCATATGAATTCTGTACAAGAAGAACATTAGCAAGAAGACTAGATGGCGATGGTTTTATTGGGTCATATGGGAATAAGTGTTGTTCTTTTGCTCTCGCTTCCTTTCTCTTAAGAGCCTGTCACTATTGAATCCAAAAAAATTCATGCAGCAAACTACAGAGACACACTTGGTTCCAGCCTAAGAACTGTCCTGCTGGATTAGACCAAGTGTCAGTCTAGACTGGCTCACTGCCTATAACTGTGGCCATCTGGATGCTCCAGGGAAGCTTTGCATCAGCTGTGTCAATTTCTGTGTCTCCAAACCTCCCAAAATACAACCTAAAAACTGTGGAAATGGCTCTGGCTGAGAAATATGAGTGCCTGACCTGTGCATTACATAACTCAGGAACAGACAGGTCCCATCAATCTTCTCTATGTTCACATCAAATAGACCTTTGTATGTGTACATTTGTTCTGCTTGCAAGTTGCTTGTTTTCCAGATCAGTCTGAGTGGCTTGTGTTGGTTATCTATTATTAGGATGTTGATGATTTACCACCTTTGCTGGGCTGGAAAGTGACTAGGCAATGTGCCTCAATCTCTTTCGCACACAAATATTGCAAAAAATGGAATGGGGAGCTGTCCATGGTAGAAAGTACGTACATGAAAGGGTAAAAGTCTTTTGATGCTTCTGGCTCTCTGTCGCCCCTTGAAATGTGTGGCCCTAGGCAATGCCTCACCTGCCTGTCTGTTGAACTGCCCTGGCTAAGAAAGGCAATCAAAATCCCTGATTTTTAAAAATAAAAAAACGTCCTTTAAAACAGCTGAAACTGAACAGAAAGAGCTCCGGAAGGAGGAATCAAGAGGGAACTATTAAAAATGTCCACGTGCCAATGTGCTGGTGGGAAAACACATCATCCATGACCATGGCATGCTACATCACCTCTCCCAAACAGGGACACCTGCAATCTGTGCTACCTGGTAATCTGCTCCTTGTAAACGGGACCTAATTCCGGCAGGGAGAATGTAACTTACCGCCTCAGCAGCTCAAACCCATCTGGTTCCCGTCCTGGCCATATGTTCTCTACAAAGAGAAGATTAATTTATCTTGAGAAATCTTTGGTGTATAACTAATTTTAGCTGCCACTTACCATAACAGGGCCAGAATCTCAAATGTGCTTATTAAGTCTCTGTAAGTGAGACCTGCAACAGAAATGTTGTGTTGTGGAGGCCATTGGTTGACAGTGCCAGCCAGCCATGCCTTCCTCCAAGAGACTCCATTCTATTCCTGCGGTGTCCAAATAATCAGTCAGAATTCCATACCCACTAAGTATGTCTTTTGCAAAATGCTTGGGTTCATGTTCGACTGAATAAACCCTCACTAAGTTGTTGTGGTGGGCTCCCCCTCCCTAGTGTTTCCCTCCCCCAAAAATATTTTTTGTATTTCTGCACACATTGGAATTGGTGCCAATACCTCCTTTTTGGGTGTGGATTGTGCTGCCTTGTCTACATAAGGATGCACATTCTCAAGGAATCGGTTCCCTATTCATATAAAGGACAGTGTGGAAGTGAGGGTTTATTCAGTCAAATATGAACCCAGGCATTTCTCAAAAGACACGGGCATGATTTAGGCAGATGTTTCACATCCTCCTCCTCCTGCATTTGTTTATTCACTGCCCTACAGAATTTCAGCAAGCCTACTCAGAACTATAATTTAGTTATTGATTGTATATTGATTATTACTAGCTGGCTGCCTATTAACTAACAAACCATTTTTAAGGTCCTGCTACTTACATATGCAGCACTGAACAACTCTGGACTAGTTTACCTGAAATGTTGCCTTCCCCTCCGTTGTCTGTAAGGGCATTAAGATCAACAAATGGAATCCAGTTAGTTTTGCCGCTGCCTGGTGATTATCGTCAGCTTGTGGCAACGCAGGAGCAGGCTTTTTTTACTGGTGGAACCAGTGTGATGGAATGCATTCCCTGCTGAAATATGAGAGGCCACACCAGTATTGGCATTCTGCCGTCACTTGAAGACAACCATTC